GAAATGGAGACACATGGCCGGCTCCGGGGGAGACGGGCGTCATTCAGCAGTGGTCTCAAACCTGAGCGCGCATCGCCGTCACCTGGCGCTTGCTAAACCACAGAGTGCTGGGCTCCGCCCACACAGTTCTCATTCTGCAGATGCGATGCAGGTGCATCCGTCCTGACACGTTCCCAGGTGATGCTGTTGCCAAGGACCGCTCTTTGAGAACGATGCCTTAGGTTTCCCAGGGTGGGCATTGGACTGGGGTCTGAGCCCCGGCTGCACCCTTTCTGTCTGCATGGCTGTGGCCAAGGTACTTAATCACTTGAAATCTCAGCTTCCTTCTCTGTAAACGGGATAATGTTAGTGTTGGGATCGGTCATGGCTGTGTGTACACTACATAGTACAGGCTTCCTGAATGTCAGTTCTGACAATGTGAAAGCGATTCTGTGGCGTCTGTACACTCCTGGGTACTAATAAACAAATACTTCGTTTCTGAAGCAAGAAATGGCTTCAGAGAGTTATCTATTCAAAATCAAACATTTTGGGAAACCCTACCATGTTTTACAGAAACATGATATATAGACTGGTAGAAATTTTTATTCAAAAAATATAATTTGCAGGAAAATGTAAATTGGAGTTACAAGCACATAGTTTGAATATATGATGTTACATGTGTTCCTATGTTGATCTATAATTTTTGCTAGGTCAGCACTTCTTAAGATTTTGGCCCCAGGACTCTGCACTTTTTAAAATGATTGAAGACCTTGAAGAATTTTTATTTATGTGGGTTATGTCTATTGATATTTACCATATAAAAAATAAAATACAGAATTTTCACGCCCTCTCTGGGCACACCACCCTCCCAGCACCTCCACGTGTTCAATAACCTGACAGCTCTCTGAACTCCATCGTTTAAGTATTTGACGGAGGCTTCCTCATGTGGGCATGACTGATTATTACCTCAGTCTCCAGCCCCCTCCCCTCCCCAGAGGACAGAGGATGAAGTTGAAAGTTCCAACCCTCTGACCACGGCTTGGTCTTTCTGGTGACTTGAAGCCAGCAAGGAACCCACCAAGAGTTGTCTGCTTAGAACAAAAGACGTCCCTATCACCCAGGAAATTCCAAGTGTGGTGAGATAACAACATATAAAAATGTTTAACTTTCAGAGGTGATGTCAAGGACATAAAGGTCAAAAACAAAACTTTAAAACTCTTGGTGAAACATACAGGGGAATCTTTTTTATGGGCAGTGGTTCTCAAAGTGTGGTCCCTGGGGCTTCCCTGGTGGCGCAGTGGTTAAGAATGCACCTGCCAATGCAGGGGACACGGGTTCGAGCCCTGGTCTGGGAAGATCCCACATGCCACGGAGCAACTAAGCCTGTGCACCACAACTACTGAGCCGGCGTGCTGCAACTAATGAAGCCCACGCATCTAGAGCCTGTGCTCTGCAACAAGAGAAGCCACCACAGTGAGAAGCCCGAGCACTGCCACAGAGTAGCCCCCGCTCGCCGCAACTAGAGAAAGGCCACACTCAGCAAGGAAGACCCAACGCAGCCAAAAATAAATAAATTAAATTAAGTTAAAAAAAAAAAGTGTGGTCCCCGGTCAGCAGCGGCAGCAGCAGCTGGGATTTATTGAGCAGGCACGTCACAAAAAGAACCCAGGTGAGGAAACGCTTTTGATGAAATGTCCATTGTCACTGGTGATCAGAGAAATGTACATGAAGACCACAGTGAGACACCGTTGACACCCACTTTCATAAATTAAAAGTCTGAAAAACTCAGTTATGGAGAGAGTAGGGCTCTGCAGGCTCTCTGAGAATTTCCTGCTGAAAGTAAAAATTGGTGCAACTACTTTGCAAAAGTGTGTCACAACTTCTTAAGTCCCTTCTGATTACATCGAGAATTGATACCTTTTAAAAGCTTTTTCCTGATTGACCACTTGAGGAAGAGGGCTCCCTACCACATTACGACTGATGTCAACAAAGCAAAACGACACCACGTCCTGTGATGACTGGTCGACAAAACCCCACTACTGTTGTAACGCACTTTCTTCCACATCTCTTACCTGCATACTCCTCTTTCCTATTGCCCAGGTTATTTCTTTTTATCCCTTACAACAATGGTCAAGTACCTGTCTCATGTGTCTAGTAATTCATTCCCCTCCCTAGAGCAGAAGCTCCATGTCATCTCACCCGTGTCTACAACAGTGCCCTTCACGAACTCAAGTCTCAAGAGCAATTTAAACTTTTCTAGCTGTCGCATTTAAAAAGTAAAACAAAAAAAATAAATAAAAAGTAAAATGAAACAAAACATAATTTTAAATATATTTGTTTAACCCAAGATAGTCAAAATATTATCAGCTCAACATGCAATCAATATGAATCAATATGAAAAATTAATGACTTTTACCTTCTTTTTATTTTTCACAGTCTTCAAAATCCAGTGGAATTTGGATTAGTCCCCTTTCACCTGCTCAGGAGCCACATGTGGCCAGGTCTAGAAGAGCGCCTGGTATATTGTTGGCACCCAGTAAATGCCTATGGAGTTTTTCAGTGGGCCCTGAGAAACAGCAGATGGTTCCGTTACCCCTCATGTACAGATTACAGTGGAAAATGACAATAGCTATTTCTATATGAGTATGTTATATGCCAGGCAGTAAATTATCCACTTTGCAAAATTTATTATTTCACCTAATATCTCAATTTAAAGAAAACCCTTTTGCAGTGGGAATTTTCATTCCCATCATTCCCATTTTTCAGTTGATGGAATTAAGTCTCCAAGGGCTAAGGATGTGACTGAGGGCACATATCCCATGGTAGGTATCTTCTGACTCTGGTCCAGAGCTCAGTACCTTATGGAGAATGGGCCAGTTTTTGCCCAGGATAAGTAAGATCACACACTGCGAGCCAGAGATAAAGATAGAAAACATTTTCAGATGAGTAATCAGTCAATGAAATGCCAGAAGAAACAGTTTTGTAATTGTAGAAAGCCGCATGGATGATTGTCTGAACATACTCAGATAATTGCAAACTACAACTTTGTAGGGACCGTGAGTATTCTGTGATAAGGGACCACAGGGACTTCCCTGGTGGTCCAGTGGTTAAGACTCTGTGCTGCCCCTGCAGGGGGCACGGGTTCAATTCCTGGTCGGGGAACTAAGATCCTGCATGCCGTGCAGTGGGGCCAAAAAAAAATTAATTAAATAAAGGACCACAGCCAGCTAATTTACATGAAAAAGCAAGTCCTAAGTAGGTCTGACCCCAAGGTCAGTGGGATAGGGTCAGGCAGCACTTTTCCATGGGCCCAGCCTCTCTCCTCCCCCAGAGAATACTGCAGTTGACAGCTGTGTCTATACCCTACACAACTGTCATTGTTTCATATCTGGCTGAGGATCCCAATTCTTTCAGAGCTTTGAAGTGAAGACGTTTGCTGTTGGCCCACTACCCTGACTTACTTCCACTTCAGCTTCCTAATCAGAAATCAGTGCTTCCAGGTGCCATCTGTGTCCGTAACTTAACCTGTGTCACCAGGAGAACATGAGCTAGAGATGCTTCTGAAGAAAAGTAGGTCCAGAAAGAAAATTTCCAGGGCTTGGCCTGTGCTCATCCAGAGGCTACAGGAGCTCCAGAGGCCCTGGGCAGAGGGGGAATGAATGACCGTGAAAAGAGGGGCTGCGGTCATCCTGAGAGCAGTCACCGGGGCATCCCTAGCTTTCATCATATATCTACAGAAGAGATGAGATGATCTGTCATTAATTGATTTTTAAGGACACCTTTTTTCAAAGAAGCTACCTTGAAGTGCAATAAAGATAGGGTTGAGGAATGGACTAGAGCCAATTTAAATTTAAATAAGGAAAGTTGAAATCTTTAAAATGGATGTTCCTTGAGTTCACAGGCAAGAACACACTGACCACACCTTTGCTGTTCCTTCTTCCTGGAATACCCTACTTCCTTCTCTCTGCCTAACTCACCTGAATGAACTCTCCTTTTATCCTTCAAAGCCTTACTCAGGCACTATTGTGTTCCCTGGCCCTCCAGGCAAGGGTGTTCACTCTCCCCTGCCTGGCACACACTTTGCTGATGTCCTCTGTTTGTTCTCACGGGATTCCTTGGTGCTCAGACTGCCTTAGTCAATTCTGCATCCCCCGGGGCTTGGGTAGCACGCAGTGCGTGTTTGATAACGTTTGTGGAACTGAAGACTTCAAGAAAATTAAGTAAAGTTAATTTGAAAAGCAAGACTTGTCAATAGAGAGGACTTGGAAGTCGGTTTGCTTACAGAGCAAAATGTGAAATACTGGGCAGAATTCTAAGACATTGCCTTTCTAACTAAATTTTCCCCTTGGGTCGTAGTGCGTTAAGTATTGGACATCCTACTGGTTACACACCGGCCTGGGTGGGGTGGGGAAAAGGGCCACCCCCTTGAGCGGAGCACCGAGGCGGCGGCGGTATGCAGCGCTCACACCCCCTTCACCCTCTCCCTCAGCGGCACCCACCCTCTTTTCCCTTTATAAACCCCAATGTCTTTCCGGCCACAACAGTGAGCCAGTAAGCCAGCCCATCCGAGTGCTTGGCCAGTCCTGAGTGCACCCCGCACCGCGGGAGCGCCCCAGAACCACGGGAGGCCGACGTAGGGGGCCCGTGGCCGGGAGCCAGATGCCCACCGCACAGAGCCTGCAGCGCCCACCGAGCGCGGGGAGCCGCCCGAGCTGCTGCAGGCGGCGGAGACTCGGCGAGAGCAGGACCGCTTTCCCACCCAGCCCGACCGGTCCCGCCCCCACCGCCCAGACCCCGCCCCCACCGCCCAGACCCCGCCCCCACGGCCCGGGCCCCGCCCGGGCGCCCCTATCCCCGCCTCTGCCCCTCCTTAGGCACCGCCCCCGTGACCTCGGCCCAGGCCCCACAGTCTCACTGACTTCCAGGAAATTGACGAGTCAGAAAAGCGCGAGTCTGGGCCCCGCCCAGGTCCCGCCCCCTAGTTGCGTCATCTCCCTGCGCCGCCGCCGGAAGGCCGGCATGTGTGATGAGGGCTTGTGGCCGGTATGAGGCGTGGGTGCCGGTGAACGGCAGTGAGCGATGACCAGGCTTCTGGGCCTGGCGCACAGAGTGGCTTTGGCTGCCTTGCGTTGCGGTGGCCGCAGCTGCCGCGGGCTCGCCATGTTTTATGCCGTGAGGAGGGGCCGCAAGGCCGGGGTCTTCCTGACCTGGTGAGGGAGCCGCGCCTCCCCGGGAGCGGGTTTAGGGCGGCGGTGGGCGGCTCCGCGGCGGGGAGGCGGCTGCCACCCCCGGAGCGCACGGCCCTCGGCCTGGAGTCGGCGCGCGGGGGCCGCGACATGGGGGGGGCCTCGACTCCGCTTCGTTTTTGCTGGGAGTGTCAGAAACGCCACTTACAGTCTGGGGTGGCCAGAGGCCTCTACTTAATCCTTTTTCCCATCTCTTACGATGAAAGAGTTTCCACAGGGTTACACGTGGTGGAACTCAATGCCTAATCTAATCTTACGGGTGTTTTTAAAAAGGGAAGTTTTTTAAAATTAATTTATTTATTTTGGCTGCTTTGGGCCTTCGTTGCTGCGCGCGGGCTTCTCATTGCGGTGGCTCTTCGTTGCGGAGCATGGGCTCTAGGTGCACGGGCTCAGTAGTTGTGGCTTGCAGGCTCAGAAGTTGTGGCTCGCAGGCTCAGTAGTTGTGGCTCGCAGGCTCAGTAGTTGTGGCGCACGGGCTCAGTAGTTGTGGTGCACATGCTTAGTTGCTCCGCGGCATGTGGGATCTTCTCGGACCAGGGCTTGAACCTGTGTCCCCTGCATTGGCAGGCGGATTCTTAACCACTGCACCACCAGGGAAGTCCTAAAAAGAGAAATTCTTGTAAACTAATGTTTGTACCCCTGTAACAGCCCTTTGAGGTAGGTGGGATTATTCTCATTTTTGGGTGTAGTTACCATGGTCAAGAAATTCTTGGGGCCAGTAAGTGACAGATGTAGGACTTGAACCCAGGTGTTACGACTCCATAACCAGGACTCTTCCCACTGTATGATATCAAAGTTTATTATCAGTCTTTGTGTGTGTACGTGAGTGCATAGTGTTTCCCTGTGCAGCTAGGCTACTGAGGAAGAAGCATCTCAGAAGCTGGCCCTTCTGTTGTAATGAAATGATTGAAGACCCCCAAATTCTAGTATGCTTTGAGGAAAGCCCTATGGTGCAGGTGTATTGTCTGGCTGGCACCTATAGCATGACACAGGGTGAAGGGTTGGACATGCAAGATAAGACTACAAACTGTAAGGTGTGACCCTTTGCCCCCAAGGAGCTGACAGCCCCAGCCCTTGTCACACTGTTCCCAGCCTAAGACAAGGATCCGTGAAAAAATAGGGTGACAGGGAGGGAGGAGCTTAGCACTGCACTTTGTTTCAGGGATGAATGCAGAGCCCAGGTGGACCGGTTTCCTGCAGCCAGGTTTAAGAAGTTTGCCACAGAAGAGGAAGCCTGGGCCTTCGTGAGAAGCTCCGCAAACCCTGATGGTTCAGAAGGTAGTCACGACTCACATCATTGTAACATTTTAACCTATTCAAAGCCTTTCATATCCCAAGTGTCACTGATCTATATAGCTGCTCTCTAAGCAGATAGAGAAGAGTATGATTGTCTCCATTTTTCCATTTTACAGATTAGGAAACAGGCTGAAAGCAGTTTAGCATAGTGACTCCTGTTGGTAAAGTATTGGAGACAAGCCAGGACGCAGATCTCCTGTTCCATTCAGTGTCCTCGCTGTACTTAGTTCCATCTTTTAAAAATACTTATTCTTGTTATTGGATTGAATGGGCTCTAGTTGTAAAATAATGAGTGTAGTTCTTTTCACAGCATGCACCTGTATGGTGTTTCATTTTTACCTAGGATAGAGTCACACAGTCGGAATTTCCTCCAGTTTCACATGTTACTGGAAGTAGACTTAATTGAAGTTTAGGGCCCAATATAAGGGACATCAGGTAGGCAAGACTGAGGCTGGCTGCCTTAGAGCACAAGGGTTTAAAATGTAGCCTACCTTGAAGAAGTGTTTTTCATTAACTTTACTCACAGACAATTTTACTACAGTGGATAAAGACTGAGAGGAGGATTTTTTTTTTTTTTTTTTGCGGTACGCAGGCCTCTCACTGCTGTGGCCTCTCCCGTTGCGGAGCACAGGCTCCGGACGCGCAGGCTCAGCGGCCATGGCTCACGGGCCCAGCCGCTCCGCGGCATGTGGGATCTTCCCGGACCGGGGCACGAACCCGCGTCCCCTGCATTGGCAGGCGGACTCCCAACCACTGCGCCACCAGGGAAGCCCGAGAGGAGGACATTTTAAATCAGCTTCTTTTGAACAGTCTCTCGAGCCCACTGAGATGCTCGAGCATTGAACAGGTGCTCCTCTGGGGTGTCATGACACTTCTGGACAAAGCAGGATTCAGGGAGAGGCAGATCACACTAGGAATCTTCCTTGAAAGGCAAGTTTCCGAGGCAGACGAGACACTCACTCCCTGTGCGGCTGCTTCACCCTCCGTTTCCCAGCAGCTTTTAAAGGGGGTGTGACGTGACAGTTCCGTTTTCTACCCAGGTGAGAAATCGGCTTGGGATAGAAAGCTAGTGTGCGAGTATGACTCTTGTCTTGGTTGGGTTCTTAATACTTCTTTTCACGGGTTTTTCGTTTTAACCAATTAGTAATTTATTCATATCTCAGTTCTTCCAGTATCAGTATGTTTCTGTTTATTAAGTTCTCCAAGTCTTAAGGCAAGATAATTTTTTATATCTGTGAATCTGCTTTTCTTAAAACTTTACAGAGACCTCCAGTTAGTGATTTACATAATGTATATAAATGGGATTAACATCGTGAATGTTTGAGAGCCGTACCAGAGCAAACCTGTTAGCCTCTTTCCCAGTTTTTCTCTTAATATTACATGTATCCTTATTTGGGGATTACTGAGCTATTTGCTAGTTATTGTGGTTTATATAAGTTGATTTTAGGTTAATTTACTTAAAGAAAAACCACAATTTTGTGAAGGAAAAATTATCTGACAACCATAGTATCCTTTTCCTTCAGAGTCATATCTGTTTTTCAACAACTTTCATTTCAATTTAACTTTCTCTGTTATAGTAAATAAAACCGATTATTTATATCAATATTAAAATTCTGCAAAATTGCACTTCAGCCTTTACCTCTGGGGGTACTTCTGCAGAGCACCTGCAGGAGTATTTTCAAGGTCAGTGTGAGGTAACACCAGTACAGCAGAGCGGACATGTCAGCATTGCTCTGGACATGGTGGCGCTCCCCTCGAGCTCTGCCTGGCTAACCTTAGCATTCTTCGGAGAGGTGTGGGCTGAGAAGCTATGCCAGGCTCAGTAGAAGTTCCAGCTTATGCCTGTCTAGTCGGTGCTCGATAAATGCTGGAGCACCATCTCTCCACCCCTGGTTTAGGGGTTTAGAGCAAAAAGTGCACTCTGCAGTGTTGAGGTTGTTATTTTGGACATACGATGAGTTGCTCCTTGTGTGTTTCTAGTTCCACTCTATAAAAGGGTAGTGTAGGAAAAGCTGTTTCAGATCACCTAGTGCTGGGCCCCATTTTATAGCAGCTGAGGGGGGTTAAGTCAGTTGACCGAGTTCACAACTGATAAAAGGTAAAGTTCAAATTGAAACTAGTTTTTTGAATCCTGGTCTAATTCATCTTCTGCGTCAGCTGCCATAATTGTATGAAAGAGTGAGTGAGACACAACCTGAGTGGGTGTGAGAATCCCTTGGGGATTACTCTCAGGTACACCCAGCCTGGGCCACTGGAGGGAAGCTCTCCAGCAGTGCTGTCCCTGCAGGGACCCAATCCCGTTACCTTTTAGTTTCTATTTCCCTTTTTTAATAAGTCCCATTATCTGTTCTCACCTTAGATAAGAAATTTGGACCCTTGTTTTCTCTGGGGAAAGAGCCCCTCAGATTTTCAAACTGTCTGTGAGTGCTAAAGGGTTCAGCACCCTTGGTATCTGTTCTGTCTCCATCGAAACCAGATTTCTTTTTTAACAGCAGCTTTGCTCTAGTCTTCGTATTGCCCTCACTGAGCTTATTATGGAAAATTTAATTTCCCAGGATGTCAGTGTCTGAGGTGGTGTGGCCTGTCTTAAGTCTTTCCCTCTACAGAGCCACATACAGGGGGTATTTAAGCCTGACTTAGTGAAGTTCTGGATTCTCAGTCATTTCATGTTGTGTCCATTGTTTCTGGCTTTTGAGTGGACTCTACCTTTCAGGGCAGAAAAATAAACATGTACAGGAGTCACAAGTGAAGGCAAACAAGCGACTTCATGAGCCCTTGGACGAAGGTGAAGGTGAAACCACAGAGCCGTGTGCAAAGCACATGAAACAGAGCACAGAACCGCTGCCTTCAGTGAGCAAAGACACATTTTCTTATATGGGTATGTCTTTCTTGCATTTTTAAATTTTTAATACAGTAATCGTATAAGTATATTCATGTGTAAAAACTTTTCCCACTTTCTTAATGAGGGAAATTTGAACTGATGTATAACATTCTTTTTCTCTCCCTTTCTTTTTACATATTTATTTATTTGGTTGTGTTGGGTCTTCGTTGCGGCGTGTGGGATCTTTCGTTGTGGCACGTGGGCTTCTCTCTAGTTGTGGCATGCAGGTTTTCCCTTCTCTAGTTGTGGTGTGCAGGCTCCAGAGCGCGTGGGCTCTGTAGTTTGTGGCACGCGGGCTCTCTAGTTGAAGCGCGCGAGCTCAGTAGTTGTGGTGTGGGCTCAGTTGCCCCAAGGCATGTGGGATCCCAGTTCTGTGACCAGGGATCGAACCCACGTCCCCTGCATTAGAAGGCGGATTCTTTACCGCTGGTCCACGAGGGGAGTCCTAAGGTCACTATTTTATAATTGATCTAATGGTGTAGACTTATTAGAATTTTGGACATTCGTAGGAAAATCGTTATATAGGCTATGCATGAAAAACGCTTTGATCTCTGTAAACACCAGTGTTCCCTGTACACACAGTATTTCTGGTCACTAAGAAAATGCAAAAACTTCAGCTCTTCAAATAAGAAAGGCCCTGGACAGAGCTCCTTTATATAATTGGTTGGCACCAGCATCTTAACCTTTTACATGTAATCTTTGCAAAACAGAAGTGATCCTACCCTATCCTGAGAAACAAGATAATTGTGAATTTCTCCTCTGCCTTTAGCTCCAGGAATCCAGTGTTTATATTAAGTAACTTAATGGTACGTGAGTCTCTTTTTTGTCTTCTACATGTATGAATAGAAGATAAGAATAAATAGCATTTTTTATATAAGTCAGTGTATTTGTAGGTTCTAAGTTTTTCAAGGGAAACCAGTAGAAAATGTTTGGTCAAACTGTATGAAAACTGTATGAATCAATTTTTGCAGTTATGTGAAAAGCAAAACCAAATGTTCTTGATCTGATTATTTACTGATAGTAATTGAAGCAGATGTTGGTGGGGCGACTGGAAGATGAGCCGTTTCCAATGTACTAACAGTTGCCTGAAGCACCAGGGCACTGGACACAGTGCCTGACGGGCACTGGCAGTCACACGGAGTCAGGGACCAGGAAGGGGTCGTCTTGGGCATCACGTTGAGTTGAACGGAGGAGCCCTGCCCAGCGCCCGCGTTCTCGGACCCCCAGCCCCACTCTGGTTGGGGATGTGCTCCGCTGACATCTCACCGCCTCCCCGCTTTGCCTCTGCCTATTCAGTCTGCCCTCCTTTTAACACGTACCTCCCGGAGCACGGCCTCTGTTTGCTCCACAGCCCTGCTCGCTGACACCCGGCAACCCGAGTTCTCGTCCGCCCTGCTGGGCGCTCTGCTGCTCGCCAGCAGCCTGAGGATGGCCTCGTGTCACTCCTTCTCTGCCTTTGCTCTTTACCACGTTGGTGTGTTGATCAGACTCTCTGTCTTGATGGGAAGAAGCAAAGGCGGGACCACAGTTCACTAGTTGCAAAAGGACCAAGAAAAAAAATTAGGCCAACATTTGTCGGAGGACTTGACCTTCCGGCAGGCAGGTCATCATCAAGGCACTGTTGTCTGCAAGGGCAGCTCCTGGGGGTGAACGTGGCCTCCCCGCACTGCCCCCCACACGCACGTGAAGAGAGGGGCAGTGGCTTTGTTCGCTGGCCTCTGTAACAGGGGAATGTAAACAGCAGCGGGGTCTGGGTTTACAGGGCGATTGCCTTCACCTTTAATTCCCCCCGGCAAGCAGAACCGAAATAGTGGATTCCAAGCCAAAAGCGTCAAGTGCCCCCATATAAGGCGTTGGTAATGTGTCCTGCGCGGAAAGCTTCCAGAGCATAGGCGCTCTCGCAGTTTAAAACGCTAACTCAATCGTAGTAAGTGTTTAGGTGAATTTCAGCTCTCAGTAACGGCGATCCAGTGGCGCTCACTACGTTTCCCGCTTACAGGGCACTCTGTCGTCGTCTACACGGACGGCTGCTGCTCCAGTAATGGGCGGAGGAGGGCTCGAGCAGGAATCGGTGTTTACTGGGGGCCAGGCCATCCTTTGTAAGTAAACCAGAAAAGCTGGCTTTTATTAAGCTTCACAGTTAACCGAATCATATTCCAAAACTTGGGAAAGACTGAGGCGGGATCCACTTACTGTTTGATTATTTGGTAGCGTTGGCAGGGGTAGTGGAAGAGTCCCACGTCCCTGGGAGGTGGCTTTGGCAAGGATGCGCGAGGGGCAGGTCACCATACTGGGAACCCTGCGTGCCCCTACGAGTCTTGAAGATGAGTGAGCTTAGAGGTGACCCGTGTTTTTCAAAAGGCACAAAGTCAAGGTGATATGACGTGAGATCATTCAAATATACCTGCCCCCAAATATGCAAGAACTTGAGTAGTAACTGACAGCCCCAGAATTCCGTGTGAAAGAGGGCTTGGACCCCTGTGAAGTAGCCACTCCCCAGTGTCCAGGCGCCTGAGCAGCCCTGGGCGTGAGCACGGTCAGCAAGGTCAGCTTCTTGAGCCTCCTGGCCTGTAAGTCCTTCTGCCTTCACTTCGATGTCTCACTTAGCCTGGAACCCTCCAGGGGCGGCAAGCTCGGGTGGCATGAGTGTCCGCGGGTTTAGTGCCTGCCCAGGACCACATGCTAGTGTATTTCAGGTCCAGAAATCAAACCTGGCTTTTGCCTTCTGGTCCAGAGTTCTCCTGCAAGACCACACCATGGCACTTCTCAATAGACTGTGTGTATTGTTGGTTTGATTTTTGTATGATTTCCTATTTCAAATAAAAAAGTATACAAGCCTGTTTTCAATTAAGAGACTTAAGGAATCACTTTGAGAATTAGCTTATAATTTTATTTTCTTTTGTACTGTTTTGAAACCAGAAATGTAGGAATTAGACTTCCTGGGCGACAAACAAACCAAAGAGCAGAGATTCATGTAAGTTATCAGAGGTATTTTTCCACTAAAAATGTAAATTTATCATTCTTTACCATTGACGAGAACGGTATCAATGTACTTTCTACCCTCTGTGTGTATAAGATACTCAGAGTCCAGAAGAAACTTAGTTTGGGGCTAGTAACAGTTCTGAAGAGCAGGAGTTTTCTAGAAAAATTATAAAACTTGTTTCAAATAGGTGTCTAAACAGGAGAATTGTAGGTGTAGCATTATTTCACATAGATAATATTATTACGGTTAGCACAGGAAAAGGAATTTAGATTTTAAATTTTTTGGTAATTTTGAACATCAGTGTCGAAAGTTGAACAATTTCTGCAGCATGACAACTGATTTGTATCTTCAAGGCAGCCTGCAAAGCCATCGAACAGGCAAAGGCTCAGAACATCAATAAGTTGGTTCTCTACACAGACAGCATGTTTACTATCAATGGTAAGCGTTTACGTTTGACTTCTTCTAGGGTTTCTCGAGTACATATGAAGGGAAATAGGTCTTTCCTTCCCCTGGAAGAGGTGCGGCATCAGGGCAGGACTGAGACGTTGAAGGGGCTGCGTTGGGTGTGGCTGGTGCCAGGGAAGCCCGTGCTGCTCCGGTATGTGCCGCGGAGGCATGCTTTGCCAGGCGCCGAGGGCGTGGCCGTGAGGTAGAAGATGTGTGTTCCCTCTGGGGGTACGCTATGTAGGGCCCGTGGGGTGGGCGCCTGGGGGGCGCTGATGAGGCTGGAGGGGGCAGTGCCTCAGCCCGACGGCCTCAGGGCAGACACGCGTGAGAGTAAAGGGACGGGGCGAGCCAGAGCATGGCCCCAGTAAGGAAAGGAAAAGTCCAGAAAGCCCCTCAGGTACACGTGGAGCAATGGTCAGAGGGGAGTCTAGGGAGGAAAGAATACCAGAACATTCGAGAATACTGATCTGTGAGTGTTCCTTGTAGGCATCACTAATTGGGTGCACAGCTGGAAGAAGAGTGGATGGAGGACCAGCACAGGGAAGGAGGTGATCAACAAAGAGGACTTCATGGTGCTGGACAGGCTTGCCCAAGGCATGGACATTCAGTGGGTGAGTGTCGTCTTAGGTGGTCACCGCTTGTGGCCGTTATGACCAAATGAAATAAACTAGCTAGACAGTTTAATGGTTTGTGAGTGATTTGATGACTTCAGTTAAAATAGCAGGGTCCATGGAGTTGCTGTTGTAGCGTGTGTTAGAGCACAGTGGAGTCTTTTGACCATCATCTGAGTAATGCTGCTCTAACAGGCGGGTCCTCCGTGCGGAGCACTGGGTCCCAGCACTGAGACTGAGGGGCTCCGGGCTCTCCGCGTCGTCCTCACCCAGCCGCCATACCTCGCACTGTTAGAGTGACTGTGATCGTCAGCCTCCTGGTTTCTTTGGAAGAAGCTATAATGTCAGTTCAGGCTAATTTATGATGTATCCTCTTAAAAATATAGTTGTGTGATTAGACCTTAGTAACATGATTTTTTTCCCCAAAATGGACGTATTTTTCTTACACTAGATCACTTTTATTAAAATTACCTTTTCAAACAATACAGAGCAAGTTAAACGGCAACCATTTTCTTAACCCTACCATCCTCTCCCAGCCCAGGACCCCTGATGACCGTTTGGCAACCTGACATTTAAACATGCCTTTCAGGGAATTCCCTGGTTGTTCAGAGGTTAGGACTCCTCCCTTTCACTGCCAAGGGCATGAGTTCGATCCCTGGTCGGGGAACTAAGATCCCACAGGCCATGCTGTGTAACAAAAAAAAGCAAACAAACAAACAAAAAACCAAAACTTGCCTTTCAGCAACGTAAGTGCAAACAGTGGTGAAATCACATGAGCGCATCCCTTTGTAACAGCACTGAGGGAGAATCAGGTGTGTGTGTATGTCGTATACAGATCCATCCACACACCTCTGTCCAGAAAGCTTGCCAGGTCCCACCGTTAAGTGGGAGAAAGGCAATACAACAGTAAAATCCAATCTGTGGAGAAACAAAACGGGGTTTCTGTCGGTGTACCCGGCGCACAAGTGCGTCGTGCTGAGGAGCTGTGAAGGGAGCCTTCACACTCGTCTTCTCTGAACGGTTCACGTGTTTTACAGTGAGGATGTAGTCATGTGTTGCTTGTGTAAAAAGTTAGTAAAAATAAAAGGAAACGTTTTATTTAACAGATGCATGTTCCTGGCCATTCGGGATTTATAGGCAACGAAGAAGCTGACAGATTAGCAAGACAAGGCGCGAAGCAACCTGAAGACTGACCAGGTCCTTTAATCCTTGGAACAACCTGAGCCAGTGGCTGTTTGTCACCTTTACTTACTGGTGTGAAAAATAAAACTATAGGCTGGACCACTGCAGTCGATGGGCAGACACAGCTTTCAGACTAAATCGGAAAAGCAGGGTAGTGGTCCGTGGCGTGTGCCTTAAAGGTGGTTAGATGTGTCATAAACTGAACATCCTTTGAGATTTGAGAATTATTTGAGGTTTTGTTAGAAGTATGCTTTATTGGGCTTGATACTGTTCTCATTAGTTTTATTGCAGTCTAGACAAAAGTGTTAGGGCTTTGATTTAATAAGGATGAGTAAAACATTGGTTTAAAAATGCAGGCAAGAAGCCTAGAAGTATTCTAAGAGTTCATTTACCCTACAGTTGGCAACACTGAGTCATGATTTTTAGGTGGGCTTGTGCCTACGGGCGGATTGGAGGAAGGCACGGCTCCCTTGCTGGGAACAGTCCTGCCAGGGCCCACGCCTTGGCAGAGGGAAGGTGGGCTGGTCTTACCTAGCGGGGCACTGTGATAGGGCCGCCTGCACACAGGCAGCCCTGGCTGCCCGACCGTTAGGTAGCAACAGTCATAACTTCTAAAGACCAAGATTGTAAATAAATGTTTTAAAATTGGCGGGGTGGGGGTGGCTATTTTTGTTAAAAGCACTATGCAAGTTAAAAAAAAAGTTTGACGTGATTATTTTTACCTTTTATTACCTTTTTGTCATAAAAACATGCAGAAAATGATACAAATGTATAGCTTATTGAATTATTATTGTTATTATAAGGTGAGTACCTTTGTAACTACCACCCAGGTCAAGAAGTAGAACTTTGCCAGATGCCCAGAAGGCTCTTCACGTGCTCCTCCAGTCACAGCCCCTCCCTCCCTCCAGAACTAATACCGACTTCCTTGCTTTTCTTTGTGGCAGTTTTTTTTTTTTTTTTTTTTTTGCGGTACGTGGGCCTCTCACTGTTGTGGCCTCTCCCGTTGCGGAGCACAGGCTCAGTGGCCATGGCTCACGGGGCCAGCAGCTCCGCGGCATGTGGGATCCTCCCGGACTGGGGCACGAACCCGCGTCCCCTGCATCAGCAGGCGGACTCTCAACCACTGCGCCACCAGGGAAGCCCTGTGGCAGTTTTTAGTCTAGTCTACTCTTTTTTTTAACTTGGTATTTCTTTTTTTTTTAAAGTTGGTATTTCTTAAGTTTCTTTAATTTACAGGTTCCGCCTCAATCTCTGTTCTCCTTACAGTTTATCTGCTGAAGAGCCTGAGCCATTTGTCCCGTCGTTTCCCACTGTCAGTTTTGTCGCTCTCACGATCTCGAGGTGCTGTCCGGTGTTTTACTCTCTCCTCGGGATTTCCTGCAAATTGGCGGCTGGATCAGAGGCTTGATCACAGTCAGGCTCCACCCCTTGGGCACATGTGTTACCTGCTTTCATCAGAAGGCAGAGCGGTTTTCATCCTTTTGTTGTTGGCAGCTGCCAGTGCTCAGGGCCTAGAATACTGATACGCTGTCATTTTGCTTACGTTTATTGGCTGGAACAGTTTTAGAAGCTACTTCCCCTCACCTGATGCTGGCGCTCAGTGTGGAATTCACGTACAAAAGGCGGGATAAATGCTAAGATTGGCTCCCGGTCATCCTAAAAAGGTAGCCCAATTAGGGGGTTTTATTTATATATTTTTATAACATGTAAACCTACGTATATGTCACGAACTCATGTACTTAAGCCTGTTAGATGGGTTTCAGTCCATCGCAATTTTCCTCTTTATTGAACCCAAATTGCAGCGGCTTTGGCCTGTAGGAGCGAGCCTCTTCAAGTTGGCTCTTGATTTCTTTTGATATTCATATATGTACACATGCATGCACAGACACACACTGACCACACACAGACACACTCACGCACAGACTGCACACGGTCATAGAGAGCTTTCTTGCAGTCTGATGTGTCAGGGTGTTCTAGACCCATCTTGTACTTTCCTGCTCTAGACCTGGAATTGGCTTTTTCTCTAAGGATCTGTAGTTTCTTTTAATGGGAAAAAGAGGTATTTCAGATCCTTGGTGCTCATTGCTACAGGGTTGGTGGTTGATTCTAGGGCTAAAAAATACACACGTGTGCGCACCCACATTTAAAGAGAAAGTGTTTTCTGAGCTCATGTTGACAGTCGTAAAACAAACTCAGGATTCCAGGACATTCAGCCTCTTCCATGTTACAGCTGTGTCTCCTACACTGAGATCCCGGTTCTCAGGCTGTGGGACTACGGAGCAGAATATTCCTAATTACACACTTGCTTGTTCTACTTTAACATGTACTACGTGGATACTAACCCTAATATACCATTAATTACAATGAAAACAGCACTGGAGCCACACCGTCAACTGTTACTTAGTAAAATCTCTCCCCGCTGCCCTCATTTAGTCTTATTTCCATGTACTTAATGCTCATAACCAGTGTTTAGGTCAGTGTCAGCTTGGGAACCATACTCCCTGGGCTTCTGTATGTTGAATTCAGCTTGTGTCCTTTATACTTGAAGTTTTGTAGAATACGAAATCCTTGCCTACGTTTTCTTTCCTTGAGTGTCTTAAATATTCTGTTTTCTTCCAGCATAAAGTGATGCATGAAGAGCCTGATGAATCTTATTTTCTTTCCACGTCACGTACTCTTTGTGCTTAGATGTCCAAAGGGCTTTTTCCTCTTTCTCAAGTCAGCAGTTTTATTAGAATGTATCATGTGTTGGTGGCCCTGGGTCACTGTTTGCAGGTATGTGGTGTGCTTTTTCTGTGTGTATTTTCAAATCTACTGTTTCAAGAAAGTTTCCTTGAATTGTGGCCTAGTGCTCTGTTTTATTTTTTGCTTTGGTTTTCTTTTTGGGGGGACCCCTGTTACCTGTTGAAATCTGATTTACCCATCTTCAGTATTTGCCAGTTTATCTTGAATCTTTTATCTGTCTTAGATTGCTTCCACGTCTTGGCTGCTGTAAATAATGCTGCTATGAACATAGGGGTGCACATATCTCTAGAGGTCTGTTTTCAAAGAGGGCAGTTAAAGGGAAGGGGTCTGCTGAGCTATGGATTCCCCCTGGCAGAATCCCTGGGTCCAGGAGGGTCCTTGCTCAGCTGAGGCTTTTGAATCCCACCCTCTGTCCTCTCAGCCCACGTCCTCTATAGCCAAACATGGACCTTCTCCAACACCACGGTGTCCTCTGTACCGGGGGTCTATATGATGAACAGGGTGCCCCATTCAGGTATGCGACATGCTTCAACCTAACACTTTAGAACCCGGGGGCCAAGTGAATGTTAGTGTCCCCAGATTCCTGTGTTGAAGACCTGACCCCCAGTATGGCCCTATTTTGAGATGGGGATGTTTGTCTCTTTCTGTTATGAGTGCTTGTCTTATGTTTTGTTCTTGTGTGTTTATTAAAGTCTGATGGGCAAGTCCTGTATTGAGATTATTGGGCAGCAAGAGGATGAAATGTAAAAAGAAGTTGGATTCAAAACAAGAAAGGATAGAAAGGTTGTCTGGTTCTTCTCCCCATCATACCCCAGAGAAGCTGCACCCTTTATGGTGTTTTTTAAAAGGCTCTGGAAATCTTGGATCATTCAGTTACAGCCCCTTGGCCACCACGTTATCGTGACACAATGTGACGGGTCTTTTCATAATGCCATGTAGCTTCGCCCTCCAAAGGACCTGTGTTCAGGGCTCGTTGTCAGTAGCAGTGAATCTGCTGGGCCTCCCCCAGGACTTCTCTGTGAACAAAGTCACGAATTAGCTTGAGTTTGGGAGCACAATCCTTTCCCTCTTCCTGCTAACCCCCCTTGGCATTCACCCCCGAACCCACACAGACACACGCAAGACAAAGGGTGAGGGCAAGAGGACATTTCTTCTACAAAGACAGAGAGACCGCCAGCTATGATGCGTCCCATCCTAAGGTTTGACCAAGATGCAGGGTGAGGCTGGACATCTTTTTATAAATTTATCAGCCGTTTGCATACATGATTTCCCATCTAAAGAAGGTGATATCACTTTATTCAGGCCTCCTACAGGGTACTTCAGAAGAAGCAGATGCAGAGCATGGTGACTCTAGCTAGCCATACCATATGGTATACTTGGATTTGCTAAGACAGTAAATCTCTCATACACACACATTTAAAAAGGTACCTGAGGTGATGGGTGTGTTGATTAACTTGATTGTGGTAATCATTTTACATATGTGTATACATATATCAGATCATCACATTGGCCCCAAAATAGAACCCCATGAATATAGTCAAGTGAGCTTTGACAAAGGAGCAAAGGAAATACAATGGGAGCAAAGGTAGTGTCTTCAACAAATGGTGTTGGAACCATTGGACGTCCACACGCAGAAAAGTGGATCTACGCTTCTCACAAAAATTAACTCAACATTTTTCACACTCCCTAAATGTAAACTATGCAGAACTATGAAACTCCTAGAAGATAACATAGGAGGAAACCTAGATGACCTTAGGTATGGTGATGACTTTTTAGATAAAAAATCAAAGCACGGGACTCCCCTGGTGGTACAGTGGTTAAGAATCCGCCTGCCAGGGCTTCCCGGGTGGCGCAGTGGTTGGGGGTCCACCTGCCGATGCAGGGTACACGGGTTCGTGCCCCTGTCTGGGAGGATCCCATATGCCGCAGACCGGCTGGGCCCCTGGGCCATGGCTGCTGAACCTGCGCGTCCGGAGCCTGTGCTCCGCAACGGGAGAGGCCACAGCAGTGAGAGGCCCGCATACCGCAAAAAAAAAAAAAAAAAAAAAGAATCCACCTGCCAATGCAGGGGACATGGGTTCAAGCCCTGGGCCGGGAAGATCCCACATGCTGCAGAGCAACTAAGCCTGTGCGCCACAACTACTGAGCCTGTGCTCTAGAGCCCGTGAGCCACAACTACTGAAGCCCGTGTGCATAGAGTCTGTGCTCTGTAACGAGAGAAGCCACTGCAATGAGGAGCTGGTGCACCGCAACAAAAAGTAGTCCCCCCCCAAAAAAAAAGTAGTCCCTGCTCGCCACAACTAGAGAAAGCCCACACACAGGATGAAGCCCCAATGCAGCCAAAAATCAATCAATAAATTTATTTTTTAAAAAAATCAAGGCACGATCCATGAAAGAGATAATTGATAAACAGGCTTCACTAAGATTTAAAAGTTCTCTGCAGAAGACAAGGTCAAGGGAATGGGAAGATAAGCCACAGACTGGAAGAAAATATTTGCAAAATACACATCCAATAAAGGACTGTTAACCAAAATAGAGAAAGAACGCTTAAAATTCCACAGTAAGAAAACATACAACCCAACTGAAAAATGAGCCAAAGACTTCACAGACACCTCACTAAAGGAGATACATAGATGGCAACTGAGGACATGAAAAGATGCTCCACATCATATGTCATCAGGGAAATTAAAACAACAGTGAGAGGCCACCACACAGCTGTTAGAGTGGCTGGAATCCAGACACCAATAGCACCAAACGCTGCTGAGGTTGTGGAGCAACAGGAACTCTCATCCATTGTTAATGGGGATGCAAAATGGTGCAGCCAATTTGGGAGGAAGATTCTTACAAAACTAAACATACTCAGCATATGATCCAGCAATTGTGCTCCTTGGTATTTACCCAAAGGAGTTGGAAACTTCTGTCCATACAAAACCTGCACATGGATGTTTATGGTAGGTTTATTCATAATTGCCAAAACGGAAGCAACCAAGATGTCCTTTCATACGTGAATGAATAAACAAACTGGTCCATCCAGGCAATGGGATATTATGTAGAGCTAAAAAGAAATGACCTATCGAGCCATGAAAAGCCATGGACGAGCCTTAAATGCATGTGACTAAGTGAAAGAAGCCAGTCAGAAAAGGCTAAAGACTGTGTGATTCCAACTATGACATTCTGGAAAAGGCAAAACTATGGAGACAGTAAAAAGATCAGTGGTTATGGGGGTGGGGTTGGGGGATCGTGGAATAGGCAGAGCCCAGAGGGTTTTTAGGGCCGTGGAAATACTCTCTATAAAACCATAATGATGATACATGTCGTTATCCTTTTGTCTAAACCAACAGATGGTACAGCACCAAAGTGAAGCCTAGGAGAACTGTGGGCTGCGGGTGATGGTGCTGGGTCAGTGCAGGTGCATCGACTGTAAAAAACGTCCCGCTCTGGGAGGGGGTATGGATAGTGGGCCGGTCTGTGGGGGGGAGGGGCATGAGAATTCTCTGTACCTTCCTCTTTACTGCCAACCCACAGCTGCTCTAAAAGCAGGCTTGTACACTTTAAATGTATACAATTTTATTTGTCCATTATACCTGTGGAGGAGGAGCTGCAAGAAATGCAAACAATGTGTTAGATGAATAAAGAAAAACGGAAAAGAAACAGTATTCCCACAGCATCTTCAAAATCGCTAGTAAGTTTTCCAGGTTAATCTCCTTTTCAATGCAGTTATTAAGACATTATCATTTACGTATAGAAAAGCCAGTGTCTTTTGAAACATTAGTAATTCCAGCTTACTAGGCTCTTACTATGTTTAAAACTGCTCCCATTAACTTCCTCGAGTTGTCCAGGTGTACAGTCCCGTCATCTAACAATCATCTCGTTTCTTCTTTCCTGTACGTTATGTCACTTATTACAGTCTCCTGTCTGATTGCCTCTCCTGGCACTCCCTGACTGTTTGCCGTTCAGGTGAGAAGCGGTGGGGAAGGAGGGCATCGGAGCAAACGTGTTCAGTTACGTGTGCTTTCAACCTTGTCAAGTGTGTGATGGTGTCTCACGCTTATCTTTGGCGTATCCCACCATCCAAAAGCACACTGTCGAGTTTATTTCCTGTAGTCGATTTTACAAAGGATAGTCCCACGGACGCCATGGCCCCCAGCCTGTGTCCCCTGCCCCGCCTCCACCTCTGCCTTTCACGCCCCCTTGGTGCCCAGGTTCTGCACACGGCCAGCCCCCCGCCTCTGCTCCCTGCCTTTTCAGATGCTGCCGCGGTTCCTGCTTTCTCCTTTCTCACTGTTTCTCATCGAGAGGACTCCTTTACCTCAGCCACCTGGCCCGGAGGTGTGCACCACGGTGGCCCTGGCTGAATGGCTGTGCTTCCCAGTCTGTGGTTCGGAGGGAAACAGCCAGAATCCAGCCTGGGGAAGCTCGCGTTCAGCGTCAGACCGCGCCTTCCAGTGACTCGCCCCCTTGCGAAGTGGGTGTTGGAGTGGCTGCCGCCATAAGAAGCCAGTACTTGGCAGGACCGACCGAAGGCCACGCGTCCACCCTGGGAAGGGTCCGCCGGGCCCACGTCCCGGTCGTCCACAGGTGTGTTTGCTAAGGAGTGAAACAAATTTCTTTTGATATATGTGGATTCTCTTTTCTAATGACTAAGTTGCTGGGCATAAATATTAGTTGTTTAGACCTAACTATTCATCCAGGAACTGTCAGGCATTTGTTTTGGCCTGGGTGGGGGGGGGCATGAAAACATTTACTGAGACATTAAGGTTGCAGTGAATGGAGAGAGTTCCAGAAGCTGTGGACTCCCCTGTTAGTTTTCTTACTCTTCTATATAGATCATTTCCTGCTTGTCTGTCTTTCCAGTTGGAATGTGAGTTTCCTGTTGGGGGGAGATTTTACAATTTTGCGTCTGTAACAAGGGCCTCCGTCGCACCTGTGTTCCCTCTGGGGTTTAGACGTGTCCTGTCACATCCCAGTGCCACGTGGGCCCTGCCAGTGTCGCCAGGTTGAGGGTCATGGAGACTGAGAGACCCCAGGGAGGGCGATCCCAGCACCGCAGTTCAGCAGCTTGAAGATGCTCGTTATTTGAGGTTTCAACATCTCTGAATTTGGGGTGTCTTATGGTCAGGGATGTGTCTCTATCCGTCTCTTCACTCCTTAGGGGCCGTGAAATAACTGCACTATTATGGTTGGGGGGGTCTTAGATGTGTTGGAATAGGTGACTCAATCCACAGGCAGTGTCTCGGGTTTGGGTGCTGGGGTCCTCCCGCAGCCCACCCTGCCCTGAGTGTGGTCCTAGGAGCTTCAAGTAGAAAACAGACCCAGCCGCCGTGCATCTCCTGGAGGGGTCCAGGTTCTGAGAGCTTCCGGGTGCAGAGGCCATGTGGTCTGAGTCTGGAAAGTGGGCTAGGGCCAGGGGACAGGACACGCGGGAAGAACCGCCCCCACTTGGGGAGAAGACAAGACGGGGGCCGCAGCGGCTCGGTCAGGGGCAAACAGCACTTCTCAGACAAACGTCAAGTAATCAGGGCCCGGCTGGAGGATGTGGAGCTGCACGGGTGCCGCCATGGGCTGAACTGTGCCCCCAAAATTGTATGTCGGAGCGCTGGTCCCAGCACAGAATGTGGCTGCATTTGGAGACTGAGACTTCAGTGAGGTGGTTGCATTATAACGAGGCTGTTTGGGTGGCCCTCGTTGCACAGGGCTCGAGATG